AAACCCAGCCTCCGCCTCCGCCCGCGAGGCCGGCCGCTAGTTCCACCATCAACCTCATGGTGAGCACGGAGCCGCTGGCCGACAGCGACGCAGGTGAGTTGCGGGCCCATCAGCAGCCCCAGCGCCGCCTTCTCCCAAACGCCCCGCGGCCGCCTGGCGTCCCCGCCACCTGCTGGGGTTCTGCCCGCAGGCCGGGCGACTCTCCGGGGAAAGCCCCAGGTGCCCGCGAGGCCCAGCACGGTCGCCCTGCGTGCTCCAGCTGTCCGGGGCAGCCGACCTGGCCGGTCCCAGGGCTGCTTTGGGCGCCGCAGCCAGGAACCCACGTACCATTAGTCACTTTGCCTCGCACTCGGGCTCTTGTGCAGAGTAGGGTGTCAGCCACTCAGCATCCGATCAGGTAAAGAACTGCTCAGAGGGACACAGGCACCTGGGGGGCCCACGGCGGACGTGGGTTTGGAAATGCCCCGGGGGCTGCATGTTCTGGTCCCACTTCCCTGAGCCCACCCCGGGCTCCGGCCGTCACACCACCGCCCGCGAGCCCGAGCCAGGGGGTGCACGTCTGACGCTGAATCGGGGACCAGCGGGTGTGTCTCTGGACTGACCGCGGCTCCTCGCTTCCTGTCCTGGGCAGTGGGCTCCCGGGGACCCGGGACCTTGTTCAGCAAACACGAGCCGGGGTCATTCACCCGCCAAGCGCCAGTAATCGAAACAGCCGATGTGCTTGGCTTGCTTTCTGCAAAAGATGCTGGTACGCACGTCCGGGCCCGAGCTCCACGGCCGTTGGATATATTCTTGTTTCACGGGCCCTGCGGCGCAAGGTTTTCCCGTGGGGGGCTGGTCGCTTTTTCGGTGCGTTGGCCGCAGTGGGGGAGGAAGGCGCAGCTTCCTCCGGCGTTTACGCCGGTCCTCGGCGAGATGAACGGCTTTTGTCGGGCGCCCGGCTGCGCTGGACTTAAAAGCAGCTGCGCCTTCCCGCAGGTGTCGCGTGGTCAGCAGCAACAAGCGTTAATTCTTCTCAGCGAGGATCCTCGCTGTATCTCTGCTGTAAGCTTTTAAGACGTTGTGTCCCCATCTTCCCGTTTCTGTGGCGTCTGAGCCCCGTCTCGTCTGTGTTTAGGTGCAACTGGGTGGTTTCTGACTCCACACCTGGGAGCAGAGGCCTCTTGATTCTTTAATTGTTTCTAAAGGGAATGTTATCTGTCGCTAGAATCCATTATCCCACCGACAGACTTCCCCGTCCCTGGATGTGTGTCTGTGTCTATAGCTGTGACCTATAATCTATAATCTATACCTATATTCATTCCGGTATCTATACATCTATATTATCTATACGTCTATATCTATCTATCTATCATCTATCTATCTATCTATCTATCTATCTATCTATCATCTATCATCTATCATCACCTATCACCTATCTATCACTGATCAATACAGCCACGACCCATACTGACACGTGGCCCCAGGCCCTTGAGAAAGAAGGTAGCGGAGCCCGGGGGCCGTCACTATTACGCACGCGGGTGTGTGATGCGGGGGATGAAGGAACCGCTGAGGGAACCGAGCTTCGCTTAGAGCAGTTTCTTCCGGCGGCCGGTGAGGAAACGGTCGGCTAGGCCCAGCCAGGCGTTTCCCAGCCCCCGCAAGTCTTCCTAATGGAAAAGCTGACAGAAGAACAGGAAATGGTCTCCTCTTGATGGAAACTTATGGGAATGATTCAGGAACTCGTGGCAGGTTTCATAAAAGCTTTGAATGTTATGATTTTCGGGTGAACGGAAACAATGAAAGCGGGACTGCAGAGGGGGGCGCGGGGTGGGGAAGAAACCTTAACCCCAGCCCCTCTGATTCTGCTGGTCAGCAGTTTTCTGAGCCCTGCCCCGGGGGCCCTGCCCGGTGCCTGAGCCCCTAACCCACCCCGCTCCGCGCCCGAGGCACCTCCGTCAGGCTCCCCGGCCCGGAGCTTGGGCCGAGAGGCGCCCCAAGAACCTGCAGGGAGCCCCCAGCCAGGGGCAGGACAGGTGCCCCGGGAACTTGAGGGCCCGACACCTGTGCACACCGCCAGGCACAGCTCCTTTCCCCGAGCGAGTGCGGGAAACGCACCATTTCCAGCAAACTCGGTGCCTCCGGGAGTGAACCCCACAGCAAGTGCGGGGGTGTTCGGGCTCCCTTACGTGTGGTCCAGAAGGGACGCGACTATATAAACAGCGTCTCCTTCACATAAACACACGATCCTTAAACAAGAATCTGGCTGGGCTCTTATTTTTTTTTTTATTTTTTTTAAGACTGAGACACGAATTGAGAAGCAGGCAGGTGTTTTCAATCCAGGCGGCCATCGCGCAGGTTTCCTCTCTCCCTGGGCCGGAGAGAGAAGAGTTTCTGAAACTGGAGCTTGTGTGTCTCTCAAGGCCCCGAGCGGTCTGTTCAGATGAATCTAGGCCTCTGTCCTTTGTTCTGACGAACACGTGACCCGCAAACCCGGGCCCGAGTGTTCCTTCGCCGTTTCACGTGGGTATGGACTCCCCGCGGCGATTCACGTCCACGTGGAGACATGAGTTCCTGGTCTGTCTTCAGACTGGGGCCCCATGGGATTGATCCACATGGTCACAAAACAGCCCATGGAGCATCCACGGGAGCACACGCACACACACACGCACACACACGTATGCCAGTTTCGAGAGCTCTCTTTCAATTAAATTAATTAGGTGTTTACTTTAAGATGTTTAAAATTCAAAATGGGTAAACAGAATTAGGAAATGAGAGCTCGCCTACCCCCTCCCTCCCAACCTCCTGCTTCACCCCCTCTCCCCTCCTTCTATAATTAAGTTGTGTTGAAAATTCCCCCGGGGGGTTGACCATTTTTAAACAATATTCATATTTTCAAAGACAGGAAAAGGAATGACTTATCCATTTAGTAAGCAACTTTTAAAACACACAGTGCCTGTATTCTCAGGGGTAGCACGTGTATTTTGCATCTAAATATCAATGACCACAATATGCATTATTTTTTCCAAAGGTATATTTTCCAGACAATTCAGGCAAAATTAAGTTTTCTTAATGACCCACGTGGCTGCGGGTCAGGGCCCCTGGGCGTCAGCCTGCGTGGGGAGGGCCCGTGAGCCGGGCACGTTAGCCGCTCACGGAAACACGTGGCCCCCGTGCACGCAGGGAGTTTCGTGGGAAGGTCTGCGTTTCCCAGACTCTGGGACAGCGGCTGGCACTGCGCCCCTCTCCCAGCCCGCCCGCGGTTCCCGGGCAAGTCGGTAAATGCGTGTCGCACTGGGCGAGCCGCGAGCTTTCCTCTCGGCTCCGCGGACAGCGCGGCCTTCGCGGGGCAGCTGGGCCGCGTCAGGGGTGCGTGTTTCAAACACAAACTTCCTTAGGGGGAGGCCGGGGGCGCCTCCTCAGAGCCGCTGCGCTGGGACCCGCCGCCCGGTGACCTGGCACCAGGCAGCACCTCTCCTCCTATGTGCTTAGTTTGGCCGGTCACGGAGGCGCTGGGCTGCACACACATGGACACACACATGTACGTACAGGCATGTACACACACAGGCACACGTAAATATGCACACACACACACACATACGCATGCACAGAGACACACAGGCACATGCACACGTGGACACACACACTCGTAAAGGGTTTTCCCACGTTAACTTCTATTTTCTACCTAGTTGGCTTGTAGCGAGAGGCACGGCCTTATTTTTGGACTATGTTCTGCGAATTGCTATCTGGCCAAGGAGTGGGAAGCACCACGCCTGGACACCTGGCTCCCTCTGTGGGGCCTGGGGAGCGGCCGGGCCGGGGCGGGCGGGAACGCAGGTCGGTTCGCCCTCGCGGTCCCAGAACCCGTGAGACCCGACCCTGGGGTTCCCAGCGCAGTTCGTCCGGCCCTGTCCGGGTCCGATCGTGTCTGCTGCTCAGGACGCTCTGCGCGGTCGCGATCCCCCGTGTGACAGCGAGGCCCGAGGCTGGGAGGGTTTGGGGCGTCGGCCCCTCGCCCTTGTTTCTCCCCCAGCAGCCGGCGGTGACCGCGGCGGGCGGGCGGGGCTCTGATGAGGCCTTTTCTCCCTCGCCCTTGAAGACATATGCAAGCTGCCCAAGGAAGAAGGGACGTGCAGGAAGTTCGTGCTGAAGTGGTACCACGACCCGGAGACCAGGAGCTGCGCGCGGTTCTGGTACGGGGGCTGCGGCGGCAACGAGAACAGGTTCGACTCCCAGAAGGAGTGTGAGCAGGTCTGCGCCCCAGGTGAGTGGCCGTCCTCCTGCGGGCGGCCGGCGGCTGGGATGAGGGGGGCCCGGGTCCAGGGGTCGTCTTTTCAAGACACGGGGATTACAATACGGTCGACGGGAAGCGAAAGACAGATCATGCCTCGGATGACGGAGGCTCCAAGCCCGGGGGAGGGGCTTTCTGAAGGGCTATTGCTTCTTAAGTCATCCTCGCGTCCTGGCATTTCCGCCAGTGAAGAAACATGGGCCTCCCCATGGCGCCCTCGCTCTCGGCAGTTACTGAAGCCCGTTATTAATGCAATAAACACGGTCACTAGAGAAAAACCGAACACGTGCAGATAGCGCCAGAGACAATGAACCCATCTGGGCATCTTTAAATAATTTGCGTCCTTTAATGAATAATATTGATCCCGGGGCCACCCGATGTCTCCATCACACTGGGCGACTCGGTTGGTGATGAAACGCCAGCTCCACGGAGAGCCCGCGCCCGGGCCGGCCGGGGCGGGGTTCAGTCTGCACGGGGACCCCGCTGGGGGTGCGGGCGAGAGAAGCTCAGGCAGGAGGAGAGCCCCCGGCCCCAGGCCGAGGAGCTCTGGGAACCAGTGAGAAGGGAGGGGGGGGTGGGCGCTGAGAACCAGAGGCCGTGGGGTCGTCCCGCGAGCAACGGTGTCCTTTCGGGTCAGTGACGCGCCTTTTCCCTCTTCCCTCCCGCCACCTGCCCGCTCCGCCCGCGCTCAGTGCTCGTCAGCCCCCGAGTCATCGCCGCCATCGGGACCTAGGCCGAGGCGACCAGCGACACTTACCTCTTAACGAAGGAGTCAGCCCTGTGCCAGCGTCTCCGCAGCCGCTCCGGGCGCGGGTCCCGGGCACCTGCCGTTTCACGCTTCGATTTACACTCGGACTCGGGGAGCCGCCTGCGCACGACCCGTCGACATGGTGCTAGTGTGCCTGGGACCCGCGCCCTGCCCCAGGCAGCTTCCGCGTATACTCCGGCCGCGTGACTGACCCCGCGGCGGGCGTCCGCGCCCACACGTCCACACGTCCACCTTCCCCTGCAGCTTCACGCCTGCCTGCCCCGGGCAAGCGAAGGTCTAGGAAATAGCCCCGAACCTCCCAGCCGCCCCTGCCCTCCGCTCGTCCGGCTCCCCCGTTACGCAGGACGGGAGGTGGAGAGCCCCTCCCGGCCCACAGGCCAGCGTCGGTTCCATTTCCTCCCCACACCCTGGGGTAGGTTCCCAGAGGATTTTCTTTTTCTGAGGCCTCTGCCGAGGGACGTGGTCGGAGGGAAGCGGGATCTCTTGGCCTCTGAGCACTGTCCTGGGACCAATGCCCCGCTGAGAACAGGGAGTCCGAACGGATATTCTGGCATTCCTCTCATGCTGTGTGGTTTTGTATTTTTTTTTTTTTTTGGTGCGGGGTTGGGTGGGGTCTAATTTTAATTTTAAAGTTTTTAGGAAATTTATACAAAGAAACTTTTTAATAAAGTATGCGGAAAGTGTCTCGGGTTCGGTGGTATTTGCGGTCTTGTTTCCACAGCGCCTGGGGGCAGAATCGCCCGCAGGTCCAGGGGTCGGGTGCAGGGTCAGCCGGGAGCTGGGCCCGGCCCTGACAGCGGGGAGGGGGGCTCAGACCACTCCCCGAACTCAGGCTGTTTCTCTCAGGGCCTGTCTGCAGGGAAGGGGCCCGGTAAGTGCCCCGGCTGCTGCCCCGGGCGGCGGGCTCCCTCCCCGCCCCACGTGCTGCGTTGCCCCCAAGGCCGCGGTGCCGGGGCCTGGCTCTCATCCGCCGCGGCCCTGAGTGCGCTTGGAGCGCGGCCTTGGTGGGCATCTGCTGGCAGGCGGGACCCACCAGGCTGCGCAAACACCGCCTCCGGCGAGAACGTCGCCAGCAGAGCCCTGGGCCCCAGCCCCCCACCGGGGGCCCCTCCCTCTCCCAGAAGGAACGCTGCCCCCCCGGGCACCCCAACAGTGCGTGTGGATCCGCCTTCCCCGTATGTTAGTGACGCGTGGGTGGTGTCTTACTGGGGACTCCGTGAGGGGACAGCAGGGAAGGTTCAGCCCACACCCCGCGGTTTGACTTTGGACAAGGGCCCTTCACAAGCGGCCTCGGCCCAGGGCTGCCTCCCGGCTCCTCTCCCCGCAGCTGCTTAAATCCCCCGTCCTCAGGCCGCCCGGTGTGGGCGCTTTGACCCAGAAAACCAAAGCCCAGAGGGTGGGGGGCGTCTCGCTTGCGGCCCAGTTCCCGTGAGGTCGCCCCCCCATTAGGACAATTAGCCGCACACAGCGAAGTCACTGCTCCTGCGCGTTGCTCCATGAGTTCTGACGAATGCAGGTGCCCAGGCCGCCCCCCACGCCCACGCTGGGGGCCACCCCTGTGAGCCCTGCGCCCCGGCCGGGGGAGGGGCCCCGCGAAATGAGGGGGGCGAGGGGGGTCCTCGGTGCCCGCGTGGCCCAGCTGTCCTGCAGCAGCTTGCTCCAGGCGGCGGGCGACCCAGGTGGTCTCCCGCGGGCGGGAAGGGTCCTTGGCTGCGCGGGCGCCAGAGGCCGGGCCGCGGGGCGATGACCCCCGGGGGGTGGCGGTGACGGAAACGAAGGTGAGAGGTGGCGGCCCCGAGACCAGAGGAATGACGTGTGGGCTCCGGGGACCTGCGGATCCGAAATCTGCAAGAACTGATACCGTCTCTGTGCCCCGTTCCGCTTCCCACGTTTGTTCCCACAAAGAAACTGAAGCGAAGCCCGTCGGCGGCCCCCACGCGGTTGGCGAAGGGAGGTCCGAGAGGCCGGGCTCCTGCCTGAGACTCGCCACCCCCCGCGGGGACTCGGGTGCTTCCTCGGGCCCGGTGTGCCCCCGACCCCAGTGCCCACCCAGCTCTTTCTGGGGAAGCCCCAGGGCAGGCCCAGCCGGGTGGTCTGGCAGGCGGCTCCCGGCAAAGGGCACCCGATCTGGATTTGGGAGCAAGAGCTCACCTGGGCCTGGGGTGAGGCACTGAGGCTTCGGGGCGTCGCGGCAGCTGGTGTGGCCTCGGTTAACACCCTTCCCTTCACCCGGCGCAGCTGTGATTCGCTCGCCTGAGGTCAGGCAGCCCCGGCGGCAGGGGTCAGGGCCCTGGCTGTGCAGATGATGAAGCCGAGGGTCAGAGGGTCCGGCTCGCCCGCCTGTGACCCACGGGAGGCCCTGCGTCAGCCGGTCACCGCGACCCAGAGGCTGCCCGAGCTCCCGGGACGAGCTGGTCCTGCGGGACCCTCACGCCGTTCCCCAGGGGCCTGGGAGCGTTTCCCGGAGGTCGGATGTGAGCCGAGGCTCCGCCTCCGCCAGCACCAGGGTGCCCCGCCCAGCCCCCCGCCCAGCACCTGAGCTCTCCCGGACAAGGCTCCCTCCCCTGCCCTCCCTGATTCCAGGTTCCCGTCCTTGTCGTCACTGGGGGAAGCTGGGCGTCCCGGCCCGTGTGCAGGGCTGTGCAGGGGGCGGCCGCCTGGGGCCAGGTCAGGGGGGTCTGTTTGGGTTCAACGGTCAGCACATTGCAGTCCCTTCGTCAGCGTCTTTGCCGGATTTGTGAACATAAGTGCCCTCGACCTGCCTCCCCTCCCACCCGCTTCACAACTTCCTCCGTGAAGAGTCCGTGAAGGTGAGTGGGGGCCAGTGTCATGGGCCCGAGGGGTCGGTTCTAACTCCCTCTCCCCAGTGGGTCACTTTCAGGGAAGAGCTCGGGTCTCCCCGCCCGAGGAGCCAGGTTCCCTGGGTTCACCCATCTGGGCGCGGCTTCCGGAGAAGGGGGCTGAGGGTGGTGCCCAGCTGCTGGGCCACGACCAGGGGCTGCCCGCGGGCCTGGCCCCTTCTCCGACTTCCGTTCCCGGGTCTGAGCTTTGCCGCTGCCGGTGCCCCCCACCTTCCCTCAGAGCCAAAGTGCAGGTGGCGAGCTGCTCTTAGCGCCACCGGGTCCCCAGGGGCCTTCCTGCTCGTAGGGACAGGCCACCCGCCAGCGTCCCGAGGCTCAGCCTGGAGCCAGTTCAAGGGCCCCTTCCCTGTTACCCCTGATTCCGCCACCCACACGCTGGGTGTAAATTTGCCAAAGAGCGAAACGCCAGGAAGGAGCGTTTTAAAGCCCAGTCGTCAGAGCCCAGACACGGTTGGCAGCGGGTGACAGGAGTCAGTGGAGGAGGGAGGGGCCTCAGTGCGTCACGGGAACGCCCGCCAGGTGACGCCCCACCCGGACCACGGGCACAGCGTTCCCGCCCGAGCACTGCTGCAGGGAGTCCTCCAGTGGAAGGGACGTGGGCCTGGGCGCAGGGAAGCGGCCTGAGCCCTGTCATGGCCTCGTAGGGATAATTTTAAAAAATTTTATTTATTTACTTATTTATTTTGGTGAATCCTCACTGGAGGATATTTTTTCCATCGATTTCTAGAGAGAGTGGAAGGGAAGGAGGGAGAACCACGGATGTGAGAGACGCATTGACTGGTCGCCTCCCGCACGCATCCCAACCGGGGCTGGGGCTCGAACCTGCAACCCCGGCACGTGCCCATGACAGGGAATTGAACCCAGGGCCCTCTGGTCTGCGGGTGGGCGCTCTGACCGCTGAGCAAAACTGTTCAGGGAGGGACGTTCTCTCGTCCGCAGCTCACAGGCGGGCGCAGAGAGGGGGCGGGACAGGTAGGTCAGACGGCCGGACAGTGTCGTCAGGGACCCAGGTTCCTTCCATCTCCCTCAGGGTGTAACAACGGTCTCGTGTGGACGTGGCGACGTGTAAAAGAGACGGAGGCCACCGCGTCTGAGGCCGTCTCAGGCCTGAGGAAAAGTCCCCCGATGGCTCCCAGCACCCCCCCCCGCATCCCACGGGCAGAACCGGCTCCCGGCCTCCCTACGCCAACCACCAGCGAGGACTGAGGAACAGGCCCCCTCCCTTCCCGGGCCCGGGGTCAGGGGGCTCTGCCGAGGGGGACGTGGCTGACCGTGGCCGGGGCTGGGGGCACCGGCTGGCATGTGCGTCCGAGGCGCCGCGTTCGGCCTGCCCGGGTTTGCCTGTCGGGGGCCCGGGCCGGACACTCCAGCCTGCACGGCGCATCCCCCACCTTCCTGACTTTCTGACGAGGCCACCGATCCGGGACCAGCCCTGACGCCGTGACCCGTGACGCCGCCGTGGAAAACGGGAATGACGAGTTTGGTGCGGGCTGTGCGGGGGCTTCAAGAATGCCTCCGTTTTCGCCGCTCTGACTTCAGCGGCAGAAGAGGGGACCGGCGACGGAGGCGGGGCCCTCAGTTACCCACGATGAAGGCTTGTCGGACTCCCCACCTCCCCACGGGGACGAAGGGGACGCGGATGAGACACGGCTTCGGGAGAACAAAAGTACACGTGAACCCCTCCGAGACAAAAACTCGCAGGCGTTTCATCCTATTCAGAGTAAAGGTCCCAAGTTGGAACATAGTCTAAGCCCCAGCCTGAGTCGCCCCGGGCGGAGCTCAGGGCGCTGCCTCCTCCGGAGACGCCCTGGGGAAGGCCTGCGCGGGCCGGGTCTGCTCAGCCTCCGCTCCAGCCCAGGGGCCGGCGGCTGCGGCCTGGAACCTGCCCGTCGGGGCCCGGGC